GAACGATTATATGTGTTGTTATGCATCTCTTATTCCAATTAGCTTCATACTTTTTTTGTTAGTTATCTTTTTTTTAATATTGACTATCATAATAGGTTCGATTATATTATTAACACCTATGAGTTAATAAACATGTTGACATCTTTCATTTTAGTTATAAAGATAATTTTTTTCTTAATTTTTAACAAATATAATATTATTTATTTGACTAATTATTATATACTGTATAACTATTATACCTTTTACTCTTTTTTTATAAATGTACAATAATATTTTATCGTACGATACTGTTTAAATTATTATTAAATAAAAAAATTTATAACACCACTAACAATGAAAATACAGTCACAATAACATTAAAAATCATTCGATACGAAGTTCATAAATCGATCAAGAATAGACACACACATACACACACCCACCCCTTTATGGACCTAGTATGGTATGATAAACTACGCACTACTCTTATGAGGTTCGCCACTCAACCGCAACCGACCACTCACGCACACGCCATTCCATAAATACAACCACCATAGTCGAATATGTATCAGCTCCTATAACACACACACAGCACTGTAAATGTAATTACATTCGTGCCAGTTCCCACAACCACCACAGTCATAATTTTTTGTGATGATTATTCTTATTACTACTATAATTATATTCATATATATATATTTATTATTATATATTTTTTTTATATTATTTACTATCGACCTTTTCCTTTGCATCTATATATATATATATATTTAATTTCAGGTATTATCGGTACTATACTTAAGGTCCTCTCTTAGTGGGCTCTTGACCCGTGACCAATTTTCCATTAACTAGTTGGTTTTCCAGTATTAGCTTATTATTAAATTTTTAATTCAACCCACAAAGACGAATTGGATTAGTGTATATGTTCGAGCCATTTTATTGGGTTTTAGCTCATTTTGATACATGGGTTAATTTTAGGAGTGAAATTCTTTTAAACATGCCCTGATGCCTATTGGATTATGATTCAATACCTGTCTTGTTCTCAATAACCCATTTTTTGTTTCTGTTAATATGTGGTGTTTCTTGCCCAAAAGGGAAGCTAACCTTGTTATCAGAGCAGGTTTAATGGTGATTAACAAAGAAAGAATTTAGAATCTCAAAGCCAGCTTAGGCAGGTTGCAAGCCAAGTTTGAGCTGAATGGAAATCATGTTCGCCGACAAGTTCCATCATATCAAATATAACCTTCGACGGCTCACGGACACTCTGACAATGAACGGAGAAGGCTCCAGCAATCATACCACGGGCAGATAGGGCCAAACACGGCCGAACCACGACGATGGCACAGAGAAAAACGACGGGGGTAGAAAGGTAATTTTCCTTATTGGATGTGGTGTTGCGACTGGTAACTTGGAGCAGTTTCGAACATAACAAAAG